AATGAATCACTACTGCTGGGCCTCCAAAGCATCGTGACCCTCTAACAGAGCGCTTACTCCGCATTGAAACTTGGGCGCACGTTGGTCCGCAGAACCCAATCTAAACATCCGAAGGCCAACAACAGTCTTACTCATTCCTTTGTATTCGTAGTTCCTAGCATACAGTGCCCTGTTGAACTGTTCTTCCTTTAAAGGTTAAGCATACGTTCTGCATTTTGATTCACATTGATAGCATCTCAGAGATGTGTAAGCCTTACACAGTTGAGCTTCACACAACTTCAGATAAAGCTGTCCACCAGGAGACACCGGGAGAGTCAGCATTCTGCTCTGAGAGAGCCTGAAGAGGTGTTGGTGTGTTTATTTTACTTGTTTCCTACACTAGATGGATTGGCCCAAGGATCAGAATTCAGGTGTGGTGTCCAGGAAGATCGTACCATGTAGGGGGTGGGAATCTTGGAAACCCTCCCCCACTCACTCCCCTGCCCATCCCCATCTTGGGTTTCAAATATTGGTTCCTTGGGGCAAGGGAGTGAGGAAGCATATTCCAGCGTGTGCTCTCAGTTTAGTGGTGGAGCTTCCTGTTGCCTTTCTTAAAATATGCTGGCTGCATGCAGGTGTTCATGGAGGAGGGCGCCATGACCTGACCTGTCTGTGTTCTCGGGCCTCAGCTTCCTGGAGTGGGCATCGGCTGACACACAGGAGCTAGCTTGGTTTCACGTGAGGGCTTGGGAACAGACCAGCCCTTATTTTTCAGGTACCAGTCATGGATTCTCCAGGCCCCTCCTAGACCTTGCTTGTAGGGCATCTGTCTCCCTGAGCAGAGCATTCCAGTCCCCAGAAAAACCTGCCAGAATCAGAAGGCTTGGTGCTTATATTTAATTTTGAGGCTGTTGGCACACTTAGCAAATTCTTTAGTTCTTTGAAAGGGAAGGAGAAGCTGCAGAACCTTTTTTCTTTGCTGTGGTCGAAATCTCTGTTTTAAAGTCGTAGGAGGTTATTCTAATCTAGAAAGTGAAATTGTAACCATGTTAGGAGGTTTGGGTTTACATGGAGTTGGGCAAATGTTGTGTATGTTGGTGAAATAACACCTGGGGTGTTTTGTATGAATTAAGGCAAAAGGAAGTGAGTTTTCTGGGGGTGTCAAGGGGCACGACATGGGCCTGTGGCCTGCAGACCTCTGTCCGCTGCAAAGGGGAGAGCAAGTTCACTTCATCTCAGGGAACTCACCGCATGGTGCAAGGAATCATTGGTGGGAGCTCTCAGAGAGGTTTTGGAGGGATCCTTGACCTTGTCTTTCCACTTGCTTGTAGTGAGACCATCCCAGAGGTCAATGCCATGTTCTCTGTCAGTCAGGAAGCAAATAGTAAGAGAGCATACACCCCGTGCACTGCCTGCAGAAAGCAGCAGGTGCACGCAGTGCCTGTCTTCAAGCTTTCCCAGGACCGCAGCACCAGCCTGCATGAAGTGATTACTGCAGAGGACAAGGCAGATGTTTAAGTGCTAAGTTGTGTGCTTCTGATCATAACTGCTGTGGCAGATGAGGGAAGGAAGGGCCATGTAGGGAGAGGAGTAATGGCACACTGAAGAGATAAATGGGCTGGAGAGAACTTTACAGTAGCTGTGGAGGGGACTGTGAAGCTAGAGGAGGACATTCTGAGCTGGGATTTGGAGAACGAGGGTGACATGATCATGGGACACCAGCGAGACAGACTGATGACATCTAAAGGAGGCGTCAGTCTTGAAAACCAAACAAAATTGGAACCTGAAGCTCTAGCCAGAATGGTTACATGCAAGCCAGTGGGATGCTGGCAGTGGAACTTGAGGACAGGTGACTTCCCGGCCATCGGATGATAGTGTTGGATGACAGTTTAGGTGTAAACACACCAAAAGGAGACTTCTGAGACTGTTATGTTGGCCTGTTCAGATTCAGGATCTGCTTTTAGGGAAGTAACCAGTTATGGTGGAGGTGAAGCCGATGAGCAGGTCACCAGGGTTCATGTTGTGCCCCTTGATACCCCCAGAAAACTCACTGCGTTTTGCCTTAATTCATTTTTTCTGCAACAGTGAGGCCCTTTGTTACTGCTACTGTTGAGTAAGGAAAATAAAGTCTCGTTCAGGGTCACATTACCTAAAGGCCTCTGGACACTTAACAAAGAAAGTAACAGCATGAGACCGTAAGGGGAAGGAAGTCTTCCGTGCTTTAGAAGCAAGCCAGAAGCAGTTACGCTCAGAGAGAAGCAAAGATTCTTCTTGTTGACAAGTGACATACGGATTTTATAAAGAAAAAGGAACCATTCTGGGTGACAAGGGTCATCGTCAGTATAGGTCAGGAATGTTGAACCCTCCAACTAGAATTTCCGAATTTTCCCCTATGTTAAGTGCAGTACCTACAGATCTCAGCTTTCCTGCAGGGCTGGACCCTGGGGCACGCGCCCCTTCCTCGGGGAGACCCCACAGAGCGCTGACTCTCTGCTGTCTTAGCTTGTGGTCCATTGCTTTTGCCACTCTCCCCACGCAGACTGAAGCTGTGGGAGCCATCATCCTTAGACAAGGTGCTGGTTTGAAGAAACAGGCGACTGCAGGTTACTAAGTTCAGAGGAGCTTACATGGAAATAGTCTTTATGAAGTCCCCAGAGACAACACATGCATGTATTACACACTGTTGAGCCAGCAGAGTCCGAGTGGCCATGGACTCCTTTGAAGAGCATTGCCCGGCCGGCCAGAGTGGTTCAGTCGGTTGAACATCATAACTGAAAGGGTGCCGGCTTGATTCCTGGTCAGAGCATAAGCCTGGGTTGTGGGTTCGATCCCAAGTTGGATCACGAATGGAAGGCAAGCCATTGATGTTTTTCTCTCACATTTCTATCTCTCTCTGTCTCTCCCTCTTCAGCTCTCTAAGCATGTCCTCGGGTGAGGATTTAAAAAAAAAGGAACCATACCATTTCTAATCCCTGGGCCTGAGTAAGGCTCACAGGGGCAGCTGGTGGGTGGGAGTGGTTTCCCCAGGCTCTTGCTCGGGGTGTGGAGAACCAGGGTACATTGTCGTGGCTGGGAGTGGCCTAGCACTACGTTCTTAACTGGGCTCCGTATTAAAAGTGTACATCTGTGTACACACACACACACACACTCATACTCTCTTTAGGTCTCAATTTTATTAGCAGTTTGTGCTCTGTCACCACTTAGAATTCTTAGTCGTGTGACTAGTATTGCCCAGAGTTGCAATGTGCAGGTACATGCCATTCCTGACCCAGATCTATGGTAAAAAAAAAAAAATCACACTTCCTCTTCTTGAAGTGCAATGATGCGGTGGGGAGTGGACTTGAGTGCCAAAATGTGCTCTGCATCTTGTTTCGCCTGTGTGTGCTGTTCTCCGCTGGCACAGGGCTTCTCGCTTTGGCTGCACACCTGAGTCATGGGAGGAGCTTTGTAAGGGTAACTGCACGGGCCACGTACCCGGAGAGCTAACGTATGGCCAAGTTGTACCTTGCCCCTCTCCAGTTTTCCACCAACATTTTCCATCTGCCTGAAGTAGAAGCCAGGTCAGGATCTGCCTTTGGATCTAGGCCACTGTAATTCCTAATTTAGCCCTAGACTTTTAGATTTATAGACGTAGAGGACAAGGCCCAGAAAGAGACTGAGTTTCTTTCCAGGGTAGTCCTCGCAGGTTGGCCAAAAAGAGAACTCTGACAGATGCTAGCCGTACGCATTAGAACTGTACTTTTATTTTATTTTATCTTTATTGTTGAAAATATTACAGATGCCCCCCCCCCTTTTCCCCCGTTTGGGCTAACCGTCATATACTATGTCATTCACAGTTGGTTTATACTCATCTTTAAGATGAAAGTCACAATGACATCATTTATTTTTGTAGGATAAATATTCTAGGTGTAAAACTCTTTTCTCTCTCTAGTCCAAACATGCCAATGATACATGTGAGCACACATACAAATATTTCATGAGGTAAAGGAACTCAGAAAGATGATGAGTAAATTCCCATCTGTGGCCTCAGAATAATTAGTTATTTACTACCAGCGTTGGCCTTGTGGGAAATGGGTAGATAACAAACCTAGCAAGACATTTCAAAGGACCAGTTTGAAGTGACTGCTGAGAAGCATTATTTTTCTTGTAATGGAATTATCTTTTAGGCAAGGACTTTAATTTTAAAAGATAGCATGGCTGTTTCCCCAGAGTAAACGAAGTGACTTTGCCAAGAAGAGCTTTAAACTGGGTGCCCACACAGAGCAATCAGTGCAGGGACAGAAGACCGCCAGACCCGTCCTGCTGAGCGTCCCCACGATGTTGTGTGTGTGGTATCAGTGTTGCCGTGTGGTATCTCGTGTGCAGTGACTGTGGAGTGAACACAGTGTCACGTTCAGAGCAGGAAGCACACTCTGGTTCGTGTGCGAAGCAGATAAACTGGAGCTGAAAGGCCAGTGGTTGGCAGAGGGCCAGGACCCATGAGCCTGGCTCCACGCTGCCACATGAGGCTCCAGAAACCTTAGCGTAGGGCTGAGTGCCTTTGCTCGGCTGGGGCACAATCCTGCCAGCACGTGGTCTGGCGGAGTGACCACCCCTCTCGGTATCTTTCATGCATTCGGTGAGTTAGCGGCTCTTCCCATCTGCGTGTGCCTTTTCTGGCCTCTTCACTCTGTTTCCTGTCCCCCTCCTTGCCTGTTTGCAACTTTGTGACTTACCCAGTGTCCGGGAGGACTTGGTTCTTGGTGGTGGTGGTGGTGCTGCTGCTGTGTGGGTTGTATGAAAGTGTCTGTGCCTCCGCTCAGTGTGTTTCGAAGATTGTTATTTTGACTTCGTGGGTCATTTTGGTGGGTGGCTGAACTAATGGTAATTCTGAATAGTAACTTTGGAATTTTATGAATCAAAAAGGCAGAGCGCCCACCGCGCGTGGAAATGTGGGAGAATGCCTTATGGGCGCTTGTGAGTCACACGGGGAGGAGGGGAGAACTTGGCGCTGATAGACCCTTCGCTCTTCCCCCTCGCAGGTCCCCCTCCTGCCTGCTACAGTCCCAGCAGTGCCATCCAGATTCTGGAAGACCCCAACTACTTTTTCCCAGACTTTTCGCTCTACTCTGGGAGGCATGAAGCGTCTGCTTTGACGGTGGAGGCCGGCGGCACCATCAGGGAGAAAGTTGGTAAGTTCTTTCGCTAGCACTTGTGCTGGAAACACAATGATCCTGTGTTTCATTTTTAGCCCTTGCATGGCTTTTTACTCTATGCTTATTTGGAAAAATCAGCATATGGGATTATTGGTTTTCTCTTTATTGGCGGGTGCCTTATTTTTAATGTTTGTGCTGTGGTGTTAATAGACTATTTCACTATAATTTGTGACTTTCTTAGGTATGTAGGAACTTCAGAATTATACTATTTATTCCCCGATTTTTCTCTAATTCCTAAATACTTTTTGTACTCTTTCCTTTTTCTTTTTCTGCTTCATTTTCATCTTTTTGCAAATAACTCAGAAGTTCAGAAGAAATTAAAAACTATAGCAGGGAGGGAACTGCCTCCTTTGTAAAAACTTCCTGCCTATTTTTGAGGGCTTTTGAGATTGGTAAAACGATGAGGGAATTTTTAAAACCACTTTAGGGAAGGATCTCAGCGTCTGAATATACTTATGAAAAGAGAATTTAGTAGTTTTCATGCCTGATGAGACCCCATTTCTTTTATTATTCATCCAAAAACATTATTCTCCTCTGCAAATACATTTTTTTTAAAAATCCTCACCCGAGGATATTTTTTTCATTGATTTTTTTCTTTTCTTTTTTTTTTTGAGAGAGAGTGGAAGGGAAAGAGGGAGGGAGGGAGAGACATCGATGTGAGAGACACATTGACTGGTTGCTTCCCGCATGTGCCCTGACCAGGGCGGGGATCAAACCTGCAACCTAGGTACATGCCCTTGACTGGGAATTGAACCTACAACCCTTCGGTGTTTGGGCTGACACTGACCATTGCGCCACACCAGCCAGGGCGCATTTTTAATTTAATAGAATTTTTTCATTTTATTAAAAAATGTTGACTTTTATTTGAATTTGCTTGTTCATTAAGCCTTTCAGATCAGTCATCCCGAGGGTGAGTACTGTCCTTTTTACTCTCTTGCCTCCAGCCTCTGTCAGGATGTCTGATTATAATAGGTTTTCAGTCCATTTTTGTTGAGTGAATGACGGCCCAGTTCAACCCACATGATCGCTCTTTCCTTGGATTGTTCATCACTTATTATGATTATTTGGCAATTCATCTTATGTGGACCTTCAGTGATCTATCTTTACTGTTTAAAATATTTTACTTCCCTGGATGGTTTCGCTCAGTGGTTAGAATGTTGGCCTGCAGACTGAAGGGTTGCGGGTTCAATTCCCGGTCAAGGGCACGTACTTGGGTTGCAAGTTTCGTCCCCAGTCCAGGTTGGGGTCGTGTAGGAGGCAACCAATTGATGTGTCTCTCTCACATTGATGTTTCTCTTTCTCTCTCTCTCTCTCTCTCTCTCTCTCTCTGTCTCCCTCTCTCCCTCCCTCTCACTATATCTAAAAGAATTAGTGGGAAAAAATCCTCAGGTTAGGATTAACACAAAATAAATAAATAAAATAAAACTTTTACTGTTGAACTCTGGATTTATATTTCAGTTGTAGTGTACATCCTCTGAAGGTGAGGAATAAGTTTGAATTCACTCCATATGCAGTCCTGTGAGGCAGACATGAAGTCTGCCCATTTTACAGAGGAGAGAGACTCAGAGAAGCCTAGTAACGTGCCTGGGGTCACAGAGGTGTGTTTTTGGGGAGAGAGGGAGAGTGATAAGATCAGAGTTGAGCTGCAGGAACCCATCTGTAAAGTTCCTTAATTTCCTCCACCATTATTTCCTGCAGGCCTTGTGTGGCTCATTGCACCCTCGGCACTGGGGGTGCAGCATGTGGATTAACAATAAAACTCTCCACCCCCTGGTGCTTGAAATCTAGTAGAAGAAGACAGATAATAAATACGGTGTGGATTGAACAGAGAAGAGGCTGAAGCTAGAGATATGAAGAGACTATTCAGGACATCTAAGCAACTGGGAAGGAGAGCCAGAACCAGGGCTGGCTGAGGGCAGGGAAGCTGGGGTCGAAGTCTTTGCTGTTGTAAGGACACAAAATGGCATCTGCTGTCACCTTTTCTCGTATTTTAGTATCAAAGAGAATAAGTGGTATATAATCCTTGACAGCCCTTGTCAATAAAACACAGGAAACCTAATGACAGGTGTCTTTGTACATATTCATGTATATGAGCATATGTATATTTATATATCTTGTAAGCATGTTACAGCACCTTTATTTTCTTGGACTAAGAAAACTAGCTGGGCAGTTGAGTAAACGTAGGCAGCAGAGGAGATGAAGGGTCAAAAGTAAAAATGAAATTTCTCTCAGGATGACTCATATGAGGATGCCATTTATAGGTTAAAAAAAGGCAACCTTGGGAAGAAAGAGGCTTTGGGGGAAATGACATGTTCTGTGTGTATATGGAAACACAGAGCCATCATTGCATGGGATTGTAGAACTGAAGGCTGCTGAGAGACGATCCAGTTCGTCTTCCTCGTTCACAGGTGAGGCTGTTGAACTAGCAGAGTCAAGGATTTCCTCAGCGTCATGCCAGTAGCAAGTGGTAGAAATTTTAGTATCATAAATGCGACATGATATCCTCAATATCCTACTTACTATTACTAGTACTGTTGTGATATAGGGGTAAATTATATTATATATATATATTTAAATATTTACCCAAGGATATGCTTTCATTGATTTTTAGAGCGAGAGGAAGGGGGAGAGAGAGAGAGAGAAACATTGATATGAGAGAGAAACAGTAATCTGTTGCCTTCTGTACACGCCCCACCGGGGGTTGAACCTGCAACCTAGGTATGTGTTCTGACGGGGGATTGAACCCACAACCTTTTGGTGAATGCGACAATGCTCCAACTAACTGAGCCACCTGGCCAGGGCTAGATTTTATATTTCATGGAGCGCATGTGGATTTTTTTACTGATTAAATGTTTGATCTCCCTCACTGGGTTGTGTGCTAGGTAGACCCAGATAAGAAGGCATGATCCTTACCTTTGAGGAGTTTAGAGTCTGTGGAAATAGATAATTGCCCTCTCCTGTGATAACTGCTCTACTGAGATAGATGCCAATGGAGTGGGGACATTCGAGAAGGAGGGCTCAAGCCTGCTGGGCTGCTGCAGCCAAGGGTTTCCTCAGAAGGTAGCTCTGGAGCTTCCCATGAAGCATGTCTAGGGATTGCTCAGGCGGACATGGTGAGATGCCTCTTTCTAGGCAGAGGATGAATGTGAGCAAAGGCCTAGAGGCCAGAGAGCCAGCATGTCCGGGAACTATATGTTCTTAGGTCTTGTTGGAGCTTAAACTCCAAGAGGTTTGCCAGGGAAGGTGGGGTGATGCTGGCATGAAATGTTGCCGGATAGGTAAGGCAGCACCTGCTTCACCACGCGACAGAATGTCAGTTTCAACCTGTAATTAATTATTGAGGCATTTTGTGCAGAGGAGTGATGTGATTAGGTTTTCCTTTTTGAACAGTCTTGCAGGGTAGTGTGGAAGGTTGGTTGTGGTCTGCAGGGTGGGTTTGGAAATGGGAATGAGACTAGTGTCGGAGAAATAGATGAACAGACTGTTGGAATGAATGGTTTGGATATGAGATACCGAGGGCTTGTAAGTGGGGGATGAACACAGGTTTTGTTGTGGAATGAGTCAGATTCTGGCTCGGTCTCTTCCTACCTCTGTGATCTCTGTGATTTACCTTTTCTAAACCTCTTCTTATCTGTAAATTTGGGGGGATTAATATCTGCCTCGTGTGATTGCATATGGAACAAATGAATATATGGAGAGAATTTAGTGCAATGGCAGAGCATATGCACTTTTAAAATGGTTCTTGTGGTTGTACTGTGGTTATTAATAGCCAACTTGGAGACGGGCACGGGGATAGAGAGGAGAGTTGGGAGAGATATTTTGGAGGTAGAATTGACTGACTAGATTGGGGGGGTAAGAGAGAGGAAGAGATTTTGGAAAACCCCCAGGTTTCTGGCTTGGCAGAAATTAGACAAGGCGGGGATACGGGGGTTGGGTGAGTAAGCCTTTCGGGTGAGGAAGACATGTTGAGTTTGAAGGACTCATGGGCCAACGGCTGGCGGTTGTAGATTTGAGGGTCATGGATCAGTGGTTGAAGCTGAGCTGTGGTTGTGATGACCCAGGAGATTCTGTTGGGTGAGGGTGGAAGAGCACTCAGGGCAGAGCTGGGGGAACCCCAGAATTTAAGGGGCAGGTAGAGAAAGGGAGTCAGGGAAGGAGTGGGCAGAGACCGGAGCCAGGGCCTGGATGCCGAGTTGGGAGAGCATTTCAAGAAGTGGGTGATGAACATGCCAGATGCTTCGGAAGGGTTAGCTGTGTAATGTGAGAGCTGGAAAACTCTCCGGGGCTCGGTCATAATCAGAGCAGGAGGGAGGGCAGTGCGCGGAGCACTTGGAAAGTGGAGACAGCCCTGGAAAGAGGAGGAAGGGCAGGCAGGGTGGCAGTTAGAGGTATATGGAGGGCCATGAAAAGGTGGTTTCTTTTTGTTTGGTTTGGTTTTCGCTTGTTTTTTTTTGTTTTTTTAAGATGGGAAAGACATGGCATGTTAAGTGGGGAGATGAAAGGAAAGGGAGGGGTGGAAGGAGGGAGCAGGAGGCGAGGGACAGGAGAGTCCTGGAGACACTTCCATGAGAAAGTGCAGGGTACACGGGGTGGATTTGAAACCTTGGTACATGCGACTGCGGTTAGAATGGTAATTATTTACCACATACTTATAGACCTGTATTCCTGTGGAGCAGTCTGACTTCTTTTTCCTATGTTTGTCTTGTAGTTGAGGATCCTCTTGGTAACTTCCACGCCCCGAACTTCCTGAGGATCTCAGAGGTGGAAATGAGAGGTTCCGAGGATGCGGCAGCTGGAACAGTATTACAGCGGCTGATCCAGGAACAACTGCGGTATGGCACCCCGACCGAGAACATGAACTTGCTGGCCATTCAGCACCAGGCCACAGGGAGTGCAGGACCAGCCCACCCTACAAACAACTTTTCTTCCACGGAAAACCTCGCTCAAGAAGACCCACAAATGGTCTACCAGTCGGCACGCCAGGAACCGCAGGGTCAAGAACACCAGGTGGACAATACGGTGATGGAGAAACAGGTCCGGTCCACGCAGCCTCAGCAGAACAACGAGGAGCTGCCTACTTACGAGGAGGCCAAAGCGCAGTCGCAGTTCTTCAGGGGGCAGCAGCAGCAGCAGCAGCAGCAGCAGGGGGCTGTAGGTCATGGTTACTACATGGCTGGGGGCACCAGTCAGAAGTCCCGGACTGAGGGGAGGCCCACGGTGAACCGTGCCAACAGTGGGCAGGCGCATAAGGACGAGGCGCTGAAAGAACTTAAGCAGGGCCATGTCCGCTCTCTCAGCGAGAGGATCATGCAGCTGTCGTTGGAGAGGAATGGTGTTAAGCAACACCTCCCTGGCTCAGGGAATGGCAAGGGGTTCAAGGCAGGAGGGGGACCCTCCCCCGCCCAGCCTGCAGGTAAAGTGCTGGACCCCCGGGGTCCTCCACCCGAGTACCCCTTCAAGGCCAAGCAAATGATGTCCCCAGTCAGCAAGACCCAGGAGCATGGACTTTTCTACAGCGACCAGCACCCTGGGATGCTCCATGAGATGGTCAAGCCTTACCCTGCTCCTCAGCCTGCGAGAACAGAAGTGGCCGTCCTGAGGTACCAGCCACCCCCAGAGTACGGGGTCACGAGGTGATTATCCAGCCTAGACCTTTCACTCGGCTTTTCAAAATCCAGCAATCGTGGTTTTAGCATTTGTTATTTTTAAGGCACGTTAGGCTTTGTCTTTAGTTTTTTTCCGTATGCATAATATTTAATAAGCCGCTTTTTGGCCGAAATAGGTAGAGTGGAACAGAACAGAGGGCAGTTGGGGATTTATGAGTCTAAGGGAGGAGCCTCAGTTGTTGGCCGTCCTTGGGACCTCTGCCTGGTGGCCAGACAGAGCAGGAATTTTCCTGGCTGGCTCTGTGGACAGCATCCAAACTCCTGGAACATATTACTGCAGGGTTTTATAGAGTCTTTCTTCATTGTAGGTTTTAAAGGAAAATGTAGTCTGAATGCTCGGATGGAGGAGTTAAAGGGACCGTAGAAATTATATCATCCCATCCCTTTATTCAACAGATGACAAGCTAAAGCCTGGAGAGATTAATAAATGTCCACAGTACACACTCTGAGGCAGCTGGAGCTCGGCTCAAGTATCCTGCTCGTCCGAGTCCTTTCCCTCCGTCACCCTGATTCCTCTTCTGACCGGTTGATGGAGTCAGCAGCACTCACTGAGTGTTGTGCTGTGCAGCCCTGTCCCGGGTTCAGAGATGCAGACGTGGCCCTCGCTCTCCAGGCCTTGCAGCATTGCTCGGGGGAGACGGGCATGTGAACACATCCTGGCAGCGCAGCGTGCGGTTAGGCGGGCGTGTGCAGGGGGCGCCGCGGTGACTCACAGCTGGAGGGCGTGGGGGACCTCCGCAGAGGAGGTGGCATTGGAGCTGGGGCTTCAAGGATAAGTAAGAGTTGTGGGGTAGAGGCGAAGCTGCAGGATGTGCTATGCAGGGCCAGTGCCATTTCTTCAGACAAACCGTTCAGGAGGTTTTGTCTGGAATGAACTGCGGTACTGCGGAGCTGGTGGGACAGGGTGTGTAAGAAGTGGCACAAGATGTGTTTGGACATGGAAGTGTCCTAGTAAGGAGTTTAGAATTTATCCATAAACAATTATTTTTAAGTAGAGATTGTGTTGATGTTTAATATAAGGTTGAGTTCATGGACAGTCAGGGTGAATTGGAGGAAAGGGAGACTGGAGGCCGTGAGGACCTTGAGGGACAGTTTCAGTCGTCCAGATGGGAATTGATGATGGTGGCGTAGCTTTGAGGCCACGGTACAGGGGAGCATGAAATTCTAAGAGAGGTAGGGAAGTAGAACTAACAGGATTTAGTGATTGCCTAGATATGGAAGTTGAAGAATAAGGCAACTGGAAATTGAGCTCTCAGGAGATAAATTGGGGATTTGCCATCATTTAGCTGTTGCTAACTTTGCTTGGGGACAGCATGGAGCATGAGAAGAGAAGACTGTGGTCACTGCCTGTTTATTGGGTATGTCTTCATTCTCACAAAGGGCTTTATTTATCTTTCTCTAAACCGAATGTGCTGAGGCTTCTCCATGTGACCCCAGCGGTGTGTGCAGGGCATACCTTGGTTGTCTGTCTGCAAAGGGAGTGACTGAGCCTTGGCAGAGAGAGAGGGAGAGCTGCCTGCCACCCACGCACTGCCCAGCCGCTGACACATTGCCCCCTGCCAGGTTGGGAATGCCAGCTTTGAAGCAGGGTACCAACATTCAGACTTCTGACAGGCAGCAGGATTCCTTCCTACAGTGGGCATAGTCTGACCCCACTGGGAATCCAGGACGGGGCTCCAGGGGCTCCTGTTCTTACCCTTTTACAGTTCCTTAAGCCAAAGGAGAAATTTCAACTAAAAAACTATCAGCTTTGAAGAGGAAAAAAAAATAGTCTTCGAATCTCCAGTATTTGTACCACATTGGTTTGCCACAGTTGTTTGAAATAGTCCTTGGGGTTTTATCCCAAGGAATGGTAGCACAGTTTGTTTGTGATCTTTCAAATTTTTCCCTGAATGTTTAATTCTATCTCTAGAGCAGCAGTTCTCAACCTGTGGGTCGCGACCCTTTTGGGGGTCGAACGACCCTTTCACAGGGGTCGCCTAGGACATAACAGTAGCAAAATTACAGTTATGAAGTAGCAACGAAAATAATTTTATGGTTGGGAGTCATCACAACATGAGGAACTGTATTAAAGGGTCACGGCATTAGGAAGGGTGAGAACCACTGCTCTAGAGCTTGGCAGAAGGTGAAAATACCCCCGGGGAAGACTCCTTCCTTCCCTTTGGCTTTACTGTTTGTTAAATGGCAGTGCGTGACTTGGATTGTCTTGCTTGTTGTCACTTGGCAGTAGGTGTGATATAAGGTGGGGAGTGTAGTAAAGGGAGGAGGGAAGAGCTTCTTGGAAATCTACCCCTTTATTTATGGAAAGTGTCATTTGTTTCAAATTTGTGACGTCAGAGAGAAGAAGAAATGTATGAGGGATTTGAGCCAGTTGCCAGACTTGGCAGCTGGATTGACATGACATCAAAATGTCCCAGGAGACGTAACAGACGGGCCATTGAGGCTGGGCCCCAGAACTACAAGGCCCCTTTGTGAGCCTGGCCCCGGCTCGCCAGCACGGCTCAGGCGGTGCAGCCCTGGGCTGACAGGGTAAACAAAGTTACGTCCACACCAGTCCTGCTTCAGACACATTCGCTGTTGCCTGAGCTCCAACGGTGGGATCTGAAACTCAGCAGTGAGTGAGGATCAGTTATCTTGGCCCTAAAAGATGAGCAGGACTCTCCAGTTTCCCTGACATGTTCTCTTGTGCTTGAAGAGTTACCCGTTTGTCGTTAATGGTGATGGTTTAGAAAGCTGCAGGCTGTGGGTCAGTACATCATAGACTCCTGGACGAGGGGAGGCCTCTGGGTGAGATCAGAGTCCATCTCCTTGCCTGGGGCTGCAGACACCGGCTCAGTATGTTGTGAACATTCATTCTCACCTGCTCTGATCTGCTCAAGATGGAGATGCGTGGGAGATGATTGTAAACCTTTAGGCTCCTTTCGTGGGAAATGCCGTGGAGAGGCCTCTAGTGAAGGCCTCGTGCACTGCCTCGGCTTCTGTTGTGAGCTAGTGAGGCTGGTGGAGGCGGAGGGACCGAGGTAGCTGGTGGGGATGTCCCGGGAACATGAGCCAGCCGTGGGCAAGGGCTCCAGTTTGTTCCTGCCCGTCTTCCTTTTCCTGTAGCCCGAAGGTGGAAATGGGTAGAAATGAAGACAGAGTAAGAATGGGACAGGTTGTTCTACGGGGAATTGTGCCTAAAAAACAAAGGACAAGCGTTTGGATGTAGAGTCTGACTCCTCTTGTGAAAACAGCACTTCCAAGACGCAGTGACTTGGCTTATGCCGTCCGTTCTGTTAATGGAAGCGAGGGCATGAGTGAGCGCTGGTGGACCCCTGACCTTTAGCGAAGCAGTTTGGAGTACATTAGTCAAATGCATGTTTATTTTCCCAAAAAATCTGCCTGTATTTCCAAAGTGGAAACTGAAGATGCTAAAAAATTACTTAAAATATCCTACTTTCTTAATATGACCACTGTTAACCTTTTTCCTGTACAAATTAACTTTTTCACATTATAATCCTAGATTATATTGAGTTTAGTATCTTAGCTTTTTTTAGATAGTATTTTATCACATCATTTTTCACACAGTGTTTCCATAACCATCCTTTTATTGCTGCATTTCATAAAGTATATAATTTACATCATTTAATAAATAATGTTGTGAACTTGTCATGCATACAAATATTTTGGGTTTTGTTCTTTCTGAATCACTATTTAGAAGTGAAATTATTAAGCAAATAGTAGTGAACATTTAATAAAAGACTTCTGATGCTGGATAACTTTGTCAAAATATTACAGTACCTGCTTCGCTGTACTTTGACCAACATTAGGTCATAATTAGAAACGCTTTTCTAATTAGTATTAATTCCTTATTTTAATTTGCAGTGATCCTCTAGCTTAAATTTGGGGAGGGTATATTTTAGTAGTTAGATTTTTTTATCTTGAAAATTGGTTCTTCACATTTTGTGTTCGTATGATTCATGTACATGTGATGGATTCGGAGTAAATTAAAACTGTTCTCTGAGACTTGTTCTGCCTTTCCAGTTTCTAGAATCCCATTTCCGCCCTTTGCAGGTGACGATGGAGCACAGGTGGTGTTCGCAGGAGGACCGCACCTTCCAGTGCCTGCAGTGTGCCAGGCACTTTGTGTGGGCTATCCTTAATCTTCACATACTGTTAATATCCCTATTTTTACAGATGATAAACCTTAGGCTTAGGGAGAGAGATTATCGTAACCTAGTCCCGGGCACCAGGGGACGTGCAGGAGCCAGGGTGCAGCCCGGATGTGTGTCACACCGGCCTCCCATGTGTTTACACCGTTGCTCGTGTGTCTCCTGTATGTCGCAGTGGACGCAGATGGACATTTTTACTTGGTGGCATCATCTGGTGAATCTCTAATCAGGTTTATGTATCGCACCTGATGTTCTGCCTGTGCTCTGCCCACCTCTGGTGTTTTCAGGAGGACCAGAGTACTGGTGAAGCATCCCAGACTCTAGGAGGAGAGTCCTCCATACCGCCTTTCTCTCCAGACTTCCTGGAGGCTGTGGCACCAGCTCAGCCTTGCTGGTGGCTCCAGGTTGTGAGCTTCAGTCTGTCTTGGGTTTGCTTTCATTTGGAAGTAGGGACTTGGGAGAGTATTGCTTCTTGCCTCAGACTGTTTTTGCCTTAGTCTCTTTTAATTATGGAAGATACGCACTATTTGAATTATTAATTTTTATGTTTCAGGCAGTGTGAGTTTAGGGAAAGTCAATCCTGTTGGTAAAAAGAGCATTTTTCCCCTCTTTGAGCTTCTCCGTTGCCTTTTTGCCCTGTATCTGGGCTGAATCTTGCCCGTTCAGCATTGGGGGTTTGATTTGCTCACTGGCTGGAGGCAGAGAGAAGAGTGGTAACTGTTTATTATTAATATTGTATTCACGCATGAGCATATGAATTTGATTTCTAGCGTGTAGATGGATACTTTTAAAAGCATGAAATGCCCTTCTGCCCTA